CAGATAAGGTGTCAAGAGAATATGATGGAGTAAAACAGGCTACTTTGAGTGCCTACAAATTGGTACCAGAAGCATATAGACAACAGTTCAGAAATTTAAGGAAGGAACCGGGTCAGACTTACGTCGAATTTGAAAGAATTAAACATAGAAACTTCGATTGATGGATGAGAGCATTAAAGATAGATAAGACATATGAGGATCTTAGAGAGATCATTCTGCTGGTGGAGTTCAAAAACTCACTTCCAGAAATGATAAGAACTCATGTTGAGGAACAGAAAGTTAAAACAGTGAGAAGAGCTGCAGAGATGGCGGATGAATATGCATTAGTGCATAAATCAAAATCTAGCTTCCGACAACAATTTCATTCCATGAGGGATAGAAATTGGGAAAGAGGGAGATCCTTCAATGAAAAACAAAAAGTAGATCACACTGGGAACAGTTTGCCACATGTGAAAAAAGAAAGCTAAGAGGGTGGGAAACAGGTGAAAGCCCTCAGGTGTTTTCACTGTAATGGAGTGGAACACAAAGTCACAGTGCCGGTGGTTTAACAAAGGCACTGGGGAAAAGGATACGGTAAAAGAGGCTAAACCAGTGGGATTAGTTGAGGTAGTGAAGGAAATCCTGAAAGAAGTCGAGGAGCTGCAGGAGAGTGCACAGCCTAGTTGCAGGCTGGATAGCAAGAGAGCGCCCGATCTCTTCAAAGACTTTACCTCTGTGGGTCAGGTTTATTCAGGAAGAACAGGGGAAGAAGGTAAAGAAGTTAAAATATTGAGAGATACGGGAGCTGGTCAGTCTCTAATAGTTGGAGATTAAAATATTTGCACTCCTTCTGAAATGTTACCCAAGACAGTGATAATCTGTGGAATAAATGAAGAGAGATTTAGCGTTCCCTTGTATAAGATAAGGCTGGAGAGTCCAATCAAGATTGGGGAAGTGACAGTGGGAATGATTGAATGAGTGTCTATTCCAGGAATACAGTTTGTTCTTGAATGACCTAGCAGGATCAAAGGTGGAAGTGATGCCCCTTGTAGTGAAGAAGCCGAAGGAAAACCAGGGAACTGAGGAGTTAGAAGAAAAATACCCTGGAATTTTTCCGGACTGTGTGGTGACTAATGTCCTTTAGGGAAGGAAACTGCCATCCTTATCTAGTCTGGCCTACATGTGACTCCAGAACCACGGCAATGTGGTTGACTCTGAACTGCCCTCTGGGCAGTTTGCCCATGGGGATAAAGTATTGGTGCTGTTACCAGTGGTAGGAAATCCCTTCAAAGCAAGGTGTAATGGTCCCTATCAGATTGAAAAGAAGTTGAGTCAAGTGAATTATCTGGTAAAGATGCCAGATCGGAAAAAAATTTATTGGGTATGTCATATGAACATCCTGAAACCTTACTATGAGAGGGAAAGGGAACCTGAGAAACAGGTATTAGTTACTGCCACTCAGAGTGACCAATAAAATCTAGATATTTCGGATTTTTATGTGCCTCATACATCAATTAAATAATGAGGAAGTCCTGAATGTATGAGATAGGGTAGTAAGCTATTTGTCTCAGGAACAGAGAATTGAATTAAAAGGCTTGTTGCAGCACAATGAGGATGTATGTAGAAATAGAATGGGGAGAACTAATACCAGAGTACATGAGGTTGATGTAGGGAATGCTGTTCCAATAAAATAACACCCCTACAGGCTTAATCCTCTCAAGACAGCTCAGGTACAGAAGGAATTAGAAGCGATGCTCCAAGAAGACATCATCAAGCCAAGTCAAAGCAAGTGGAATTTACTGATTGCATTGGTTCTCAAACCTGATGGTATTCAATGATTCTGCGTGGATCATTGGAAGGTCAACGCCATGACTAAATCATACTCATACCCAACTGTGAGGCTGGAAGACAGTGTGGAAAATGTTGGACAAGCCATTTCATCACAAAGTTAGACTTACTTCGTGGTTACTGACAAGTACCTTTGTTGGAGAGAGCGAAAGAAGTTTCTGTGTTTGTATCCCCAAATGGACTGTATCAATTTAAAGTAACGCCCTTTGGAATGAAGAAATCTCCAGCCACTTTTCAAAGACTTATGAACAGAGTTGTGGCAGGATTGACTAATTGTGCCATCTATATAGGTGAATTAGTGACCTTTAGCCATTCGTGGAAAGATCACATGGTGCATTTGGCAGACCTCTTTGAAAGACCAGGGAAGGCAAAACTGCTCATAAACTTAGCAAAAACTGAATTCATGAAGGCAGAAGTAACGTTCTTATGGCACAACATCGGACATGGATGGATGACACCAAGGAATGTGAAGACGAAGGCCAATGAGGAATATCCAAGACTATCCTCGAAGAAGGAAGTGCTACGCTTTTGGGACTGAGCGGATTCTACAGGAAATTTCCACCAAACTTTAGTAGCATGGTGGTACCGCTGAGGAATTTGTTAAAGAAGAACATGAAATTTCAGTGGACAGAACAATGCCAGGAGGCATTTGAGAATTTAAAAGCCGTGTTAGCTACTACACCAGTTTTAGCCACACCAAATTTCTTGAAAGCCTTTAAAGTCACCATCGACACAAACAATGTAAGGGTTGGAGCTGTGTTGTTACAGGAGGATGATTGTGGAATTGAAAGGCCAATCGGTTATTTTTCAAAGAAACTCAATATCCACCAGAGAAAATACTTAACCGTTTAAAAAGAGTTATTGAGTTTGGTGCTGGCATTACAACATTTTAATGTTTACATTGCAAACAATGTCTTGGAGATAGTCATGTACACTGACCACAACACTTTGACATTTTTGGTGAGATTTAAGGACCAGAACAGTAGCCTATTTTGTTTAGCCTTATGTTACAAGCATTTAATTTGCATATTGTACAAGTTATGGGTCATGAAAATGTTATTGTGGAAGCGTTATCGTGGGTTTAAAAGAAAAATGTCTATATAAGATAGAAATGTTAGTGTTCAATGTTACATATGTATATAGAATTAGTATGAAAAGCGTAACACAAGATTAATGACCTATGGATGGAGTAATAGTGGTGTTAAGGTTTAGAAAAAAAGAGACGAAAAATGAAACCATTTTTCATTATGATGGTTCATTTTTTTCCTAAGGGGGAGGTGTTGCAAAGTTGAGTACGCTCTTGATGGATTAGAAGGCAGGATGTTAGAATTTTTGATGTTTGTAATTTGATAAGGGGGAAGAGTGCGTGGTCCTTTAAAAATAGATGTGTTTTTTTTCCTAGGCTTGGAGATTTTAAAAGTCTGCAGGCAGCACAGCTGCACAGAGAGTTCCTGAATGGAAACATTTGTATTGA